CAGGCTCCTGGCAGGCGGTGGCCGGGCGGGCCCCAGACCGCGGCCCGAGAGGGTTTTCATTTAAAGAGAATACGGTGTTTTAGTTTTCCTGTTTCTTTGTTTCTTTTTTCTTTTTTTTTTTTTTTAATTTTAAAAGATTCTTTCCAAGGAGTACTGAAAAACCCGCTTTCCTAAGTTTGTCTCTGAAACCTCAGTGGTGGACCTGGGAGATGCAAGAAGCTTCCAGAAACGAAGTTCACGCGCCAGCGCCACTGCAGACGGGGAGCGACGCCGCGACGCCGGCTCGGAGGATTTCTGTGTTGGGTTTGAGTCCCCGGTTCCCGCCGCAGGGACAGGGCCGGAGGCGCCACGTCCCGGACTCTTGAGAAGCCAAGCCGCTTCCACGCCGTGGACTCTGGGGACGGTGCCGGTGTCCCCAGGAGCGCCTCCATCAAGGACTAGCAGCGAGGCCGGGGCACGGTAGAGGGCAGCGGCCCAGAGGGCCTGGCCCTGAGCGCAGGGCTGCACCGCACGCCGGAGCCTGGTTCGATGCCGACGCCCCAACCCCAGCCCGGGCTGCACCGCGTGGGCGGCTCTGCTCTGGGGGGACTAAGGGATGGGGACAGCCAGCCCCGCCTGGGGCGCGGAGGAGGAGGTGGCGACGGCGGGGAGAGGCAGCTGGGCCTAGCGTAAGGAGGAGGTCCGGAGTTGGGGCGCGCCCCGCTCCTGCACGCGAGCTGGGGTGTCCGCTCGGTGGGGAGCCTCCCCGGGCGCCGTCTCTGGCCCACACCCCGAAGCTGCAGATGCCGGCCTCCTCCGGGACAGACGCGGACTTGTTGATGCCGCTGCTGTGGGGCCCCGGGGGCCCCCGTCGGCGGGCCCCAGCCAGGCCCTGCTCAGCCCCGCGCTTTGTTCTCTGCCTTCGCGGGGCGTCGCCGTCCCGACCCCGGAGCGTCTGTACCGAGGCAATGTAACTTTTGATTTTCGGTCAATTTGTTTTAAGCTCTTTTGTCACCAATAAAATGATTAATAAACAATCCGTGCGTGCATGTTGGAGCCGCGGGCAGGGGGCCCAGGGGTCCAGCGGGTCGGGGCAGCGGCTTGTGGGGGAGGCAGAAGCTGGGGGAGCTGCGGCTGCAGCCCAA